CTGGTGCTGACGTACAATCATTTGTACCCTGCAGATTGAGACGGAAGGGATGTGAAATTTGTAAAAACGCGATTTTAATCGGCCTGCATTTGAAATTTCGTTGAGTTGCCTGGACTACGTCCCGAAAGGTCAATACATAATGACCCTGAATAACTGATCTGTGCAGCTGTCGACGAGGGCAAACTAAGGAACCGAATAACAAGGTCCTCGCGATACCACAATAAGTATTTGTTGCTCCAATCACTACCGGGGTTGATCGCCTCTACACCAAAACGACGAAGTGCCGAATCTGAAGAACCGTCCTCTGAGAATATAAACCGACGCCGATGCGTCGGCGTATTGGATTTTCAGTCCATGACGAAGCCGTCCCGGCCGTTCACGAGATGACGTCTGTCATCAACGGTGTGCTCCCACGCGCAGCTTCGATCGATGATCTGTCGTCAGAAATTGCTGACAGGGCTGAGATGACTCGATAGACGCATGCTGGAATAAATTTGGGTGCTGGGGCCATTTATTTCAGGAAATCTTTGAGGTGTTTCTATTACTCCAGCATGATGGATTGTTGCTCTTTCTGGCTGCTATGCATCATCGCTTTCATCATCTATGCGCAGGTCAATCGTATAGGTGTGATAACAAATCGATACAAAAGGGATACAAAGTCGAACAAAGTGATAGCATGCGAATTTTTTTCGGAGCGGTTAAGGACGAAACGAACGAGGCCCGAAGTTTTCAACATGTAAACAAAAGTACGCCAATGTATGTGTCAGGGCTGACCAGACTTGTGGTTAATGCAAGACAAAGTTTATTTCAACGGAGTGTTCCACATTTATACGGGGTTCTGAACTGAAATAGCCATTTTGAAGACCTTTCGGAGCTGTTCACAATCCTGACTTTTTCAAGACCTTATAATGACGTCATTCAAATCCTGCCATTTCAGAAGCCATGCGTCGATCAAGGCCAAGACAAATATTCCGTCGAGGCGTTCATATCTGGCGTTTGTGAACGCTCTTTCCAGATGCAACGGCCATTAATTGGCTCTCAATCAATGTTGTGAAAGGTACGATAACGTAATCAAACCATAACCCATTGAGGAGCACATCTGCTAAACAGAGAATTGTGTCGCCTAGAGCAGGCTTTTCCTCCTAAAAAGCATATCAAGAGCTATAAATAAGTTTTTTCATCATATCTGATGTTTGCTTCATCATATCTGATGCTTACTTCAGTGTCTTCAAATGTGAAACATTCCCTTTAAAAGCCACGGCAAAGGCTGCCAGCAAGCAACGTGGTCAGCTTTGTCACAGTTTGTCACTTAGTTTGTTCGGTTTGCGATCCTTGCCCGTTGGAGGTGGCGCATCGGTTTTGGGCTGACCGATAAACGCAAGTGACATTTTTCAGTGCATCCAGCAAAATTTGTTAAATGCTCGTACACGTATTCCAGGCCAACTTACCACTCTGCCTGGAATGACTGGATATAATCACCAGCAACGTTCGACCATGCACTTAAAGGTCTGAAGCGAGACCAGTGTAAGTGTACATAATATCGTTTTCACAAAGGATTAATGTACTGCAAAGATCCGATTTTTCCAGGGTGTTTATACTAATTTTAAGCATATACAAAAGGCATTGCTATGGAATGATTTTTATCATGCGATTTCATTGATATTTAATGGCAATCAAACGTTTGCCTCATTTCGAATAAGTTTATAATGCGAAACGAGTCTCATTATAGACATTCGTGTCTTAAGGCCAGCTTGCAGTTCACCCAAATTTTAGCATACACCAAGCGTAGCAATGGTGAGCATCAATCGAAGGTGTTGGACGATGCTTCGGAACATCATTCATCGGATGGACCATTAGATGGTTGGGTAGGCTGGGTACCCGTGCGTCGGACCACTTTGTTTGCTTCGGTGTGTTGAAAGGAGTATTCCATATTTGTATGGATATTTGAACTGGAATAGTCCTCTTGAAGGTCATTCGTTCCGCCGTCGATCACCCTGCCCTGCTTAAGGCCTAGACTCTTCTAGTTTCTGAGCTAAACGGCCGCCAAGATGTGCAGACTATTTCTGGGAGACTATCTCAAGGCTACCCATGCATCTATGAAGCCATAATAACGTCATTCAAATCCTGCTATTTCATTGACCATGCGGCGATGTAATCATCGAGACCAAGAAGAATACAGTTGACGAGTCGTTCACATCTGCGCTTCGTGAGCACGACTTTTAGATATAACGGCCGCCAATTGGTTTTAACTCAACATCATACGAGGTACCTTGACGCAGTCAAGCAATAACATATTGAAGAGCATAGTTACTGAACAGAAAAATTGTGTTGTCTAGAGCATTCCCTTCCCTTTAAAAGTTAAACAGTACAATATTATTAGCATTAACATAAATACTAATATAATATAAATGATTAGTTATAAAAATATACATAATTAACAATAGTTATAGATGAGCTTATTTCATCACATAGGATGTTTGCTTTGTCTTCAAATGTGCAGCTTTCCCTTTAAAGGAAATGTCCCATTTTTGGAGCACATGCTGAGAACACATTAATGAAACGTCAGGGTCAGCCATATTTGATAAAAGCACTGGGTAGTTTCACTGCAGAGCTGTCAAGACATGATAAGGAGATAAATGTTGATTAGTTTCAAGTCCAAGCTACGCTGTCAGCAATTTATGAGAGCACAACGCTTCTTCCCTGTACTCGTCACGAACGCCGTGCTATGACAACCGCTGTAGTGCCTCTACTGGTGCGAATAAAATAATGTTTGTGTATGGCCCAGTGGACGGCAACGGCTTGTTACGCAGAAGCACACTGGTTGAACTTTGAACCAATATGCCACTTTTAACTGTGTCATCCCATCCCCAAAGCCAACGTATGGTTCGAAAAGAGCCACGGTATTGAACGTCTAGGAGAGAAATCAAAGCCATAGGATCACGTTTCGTTGAATTCGCGGGATAGTAACTTCATATTCGCACATGATTTTGGTCTAACAAAATGTTTCAAGCCTTGTAGCATTTGTTACACAAATATTTTGATAAATGTGCTGCAAACATTGCACAGCACACACGTTTGAAAAAGCGAGACAAATGCAATTGATTACTTTCATAGTGGTGAGTAAAGTATCCACTGATATTTCTATCGCAGGACCGGGTTCTTCAAATCGAAATTCTGAGCTATTCAGAATGCTTTCGAGAAAGCTGATATTACTGATTAAATCGTGGGCGTTTAATCTAGCAATTAATGAAAGGTACAAAATATGGTACGCTCACTTAAATCAAAGCGGACTGTGAGGGTCAGATATTGCTTCCGGTTAAGACATTGCTTTAATTTCTGACATTTTTCACCTTCACCTTTTGCAAGTTCAAGTTCATTGTCGCGCACAGGGAGACATCACACGGTACGTATATTTATTTCACATCAGCTATCGCACAAGCACAAGTCAGCCAATGCCAAGACAAAGCATGGGGGAGCTGAGGAGGACAAAACATGATCGTCTGCGTTTCAGCAAGCACCGGGTGCGAATGAGTAACGGGATATTTGTTGAGTCCATGTATCATTTGCTCAGCATCACTCCATTCGTGGACTTCCACGAATGGAAACATGGCAAATATTTACAACGTTGTCGGGCATCGTGTACAGCATGCTGTTCGAGTGGCAGTTGTATGATAACGTTACAGATAACAGATAAGCATGTCGCTGGTTATGACAAAGCGATGACGCTGACACAGAAGACATGACGAAGTGACACAACCCAAACTCCCCCTTCCCCCTCCCAACAATGTCTCTATCCCGGAACATCCTCAACTCCCATACACGGCGAGATCGTGCGTGCACGTCCAGCCCGTCCTCTAGTCCGCTTGAACATCTCGAACACCTCAGCCGTTTTCACGCAAGCACTAATGATAGGTATGACGGAAAATGATGAGATTTGCTTCCTGGTTTTAATCGTTTTCGCGCATTTCAGAATTTTATTTCCATGGAAATGTAGTAGCCGAATAAACACCGGTGTGAAAAGGACACTAGTATTCTTCACGATGCATTGTGGCAGCCCTGCCGTCCAGACATCTGAGTGAATGTCGTCCGTAGCGGAACGTCATAAAACTGACCGAAAAGTGTGGGGGCGGAGGGCAAGGACCAGACCTTGTTCACACCATACAAACTATTGCAGCCTTTTGTGCTTATGGTGAATGTTTGACGATTTTGACTAAACACTGAGCGATCGAAGAGAACAGTCATAAAGGTATATAGAAATACATCGTGGTTCAGCTTTGTCCGTCGCGGGCCATGACTAGATCAATATCGTAAAACACATAAAAGCTCTCACTGGTTTCCATCCATGAGCACCAAATGTTCATTCTGGTAAACACAAACGTTTTCAACATTTTCGTGCGGCCATACATGTGACAAGGAATGACTACTGTTGAAGGCACTTCTACAACTTGCGAAACGCAGCCCATTCCAGAGTCATTGCTCTCCATCGAAAAGGGTTCTGCCGTTTGCCATGGTATTAAATGCAGGAGTGCATTCAAACAAGACCGCCTTGCATAATCATATGATCAAAATCACAATGACTTTAACATCACTTTGCCCAGCGGTTCCGTATGGCTTCGAGCCCTATGAAATCCCCACCATTTGTCAGCATTTTTCATCCAATGACTGTGATCTTGTCACACATACACAGGCAGACGAACGCGAGGGGGACCATTTAAATACCTGCCAACGGCAGGAAACAAAGAATGTCACACCGAAGCCAGGTGACCGCTGACACTACTGGCGCCTATTACGTATCCCCCGGTGACAGACAGCAAACCGAGGTGATACCCCGAAGGCGGCTACCCAGCGGCGCTCCTGACACCCAGCCGGCTACTGAGGAGTGCCCGGGAGGACTGGGGCCCGGGAAGACTGGGACCCAGGAAGACTGGGATCCGGGAGGATTGGGACCCAGGAGGACTGGGACCCGGGAGGACTGGGACCCGGGGGGACTGGGACCCGGGAGAACTGGGACCCGAGAGGACTGGGACCCGGGGGACTGGGACCCGGGGGACTGGGACCCGGGAGGACTGGGCCCGGGAGGATTGACGACACCCGTCACATGTCGTCCGGCGGCGGGGGCAGCTGGTCGGGGGACGGCGCGCGGGTGAACAAGGGCGTAGTCTCGTGCCGGACCGGCTTGAACGAGCTGCCGCCGTCCCGCACGCTCATCGGCCGCAGGTCCTCGTAAAGGTGTACCTCGGCGTATTGGTGGCCGTGGTCAGTCAGTGCGGCGAACTGATCGGCTCCGCCCAGCGAGAGACGACGCCCGAGCAGCTCCAGCGCTCGCCGCCGCCGCTGGCTTATGACCACGCTGGCCAGCGTCGCCGACACCAGCAGCAGCACGGTGCTCAGCACCGCCAGCACCACCGTCGCCAGCTGGAAGTGCTGCGACGATGCCAGGCCCTGCTCGCGGTCGTCGCTGACGTCGGAGCCCGTGTCGATGTCCGGGTCTGAGAGGGAGAGGGAGGATGTGTCAGAGCCTGCTGTTTGCTCCCGGTGACACTTCGTCGCTCATTGACACGTAAAGAAAACTTTACAAAGAAAACTTTGGCAAGTCCACTCTTCACACCTCTTTTTGCATCCAGCAGCACGCTAAATTGTTTGCCGTGACGGGCCAATTCATCATAACTTGAGAGGCGATGAATTCATCTGCGCGTCTGCGGAATTTATTTGCACCTCGCGCTGTGCTTAAGTTCACGAACTACCACCACTTCGGAGCTTTGCATGTCTAGGTACATGCCAGGGTGACTTACGAGTTTATTAGACGTGTGTCAATGTCTACGTTTTCCTTCAATTAAGTCCATGTTTTATATTTGCAGTGTCAGCATGTGCCTGCTGTTTCGTGAATCCATGAACCCGAACACATTTCCACGATCATTACTCGCCTATTTCACACGATGACGTTATCAACATGTCAGGTCAACGCACAGCGATTGGCAAGCGCAGCAGCCCCATAGTGTGTTATCACCTTCATCGCTTTCACTCAAGGTCCCCTCAGGTTTCAGTGCGTGGAAAGAGATGATCCCTGTGTTCGACTGGAAGTTGTGACGACCACTCTCTTCGTCGGTGCTTCGCCCATCTGAAAACCACAGAAGGTGATATTGTAACAACATATACTGGCCAAAACCGCGCACTTCCTGCTGTGACCAATCCTGCAGACAGAAGCCTTCAGATTAACGGCAGGGTCCGACTGAAGCTTACTGGACCCCGTGAACAATGGACAGATCGCTTGCTGAATGGTCGCGGGAAGTTTCCAGCACCAATACGGGTCCCAACGACCCGGGTGATTGTATCACGGCAGGGGCCCATTGAATACGCCAGTATGGTGTCTGTCGTCGTTTGTTTGCTTTTCGGGGGTTAATCTTCTAAACGACGGCTTTTTCGTACTAAAACTAAGAAGTTAACCATAACAAACCATGGAGTCCTGAAGCAATCTGGACCACATCGGACAGCCAGTGACGATGTTCTATACAGACTCTGTTGTGCTAGGCTTCATCTGGATAGCACAATTGCTTTAGGCCATAATGCCAAGGTGTTACTCAAGGCTCCCCCTTATGCCGTTCACACGCAAGTATGGCCATTGACTGGGGTTCGCGCGTGGGTACTGGGGCTGAAGTTGATATTGTACCCGGTCGTCAAGTTACTGCAGGACTTACACCCATGATCTTCAACATCGACTTCAACATTTCTCTTCTTGTCGACATTATTATGATGTTTTGAGCATGACAGTTAACAAAGCGCACTGAATCTTCAGCGCCAAGCCGTATTGTGCGAGAGCCAAGGTTTTTTTTACGGAAAAATAGGTGCGGGGCAAATCACAGTCGTATGCAATGGGCTGAGACTCCACCGTCTATTTCTATATGCACTTCGCTTGAGGTTTACGCCCTTCGAATCTATTCATACTTGATACCTTCATCTACTTATATCGATATCCAATGGATCACGGATTTTGTGCATTTCATGATTAAAAAATATCGTTCATCAGTGAAATCTTTAAACCTGAGCGCCTATCAAAGTGTATCGCACTTGGTACATGGCTTCTCAGTTCGGAAGAAAATGAGTGAAATAGGCGTAGCCGCTGAAGACCGGCCATATCTGACCCTACACTCTTTTATTCCGCCCTAAACAGTACACGCCTGCACATCGTCACATAGGGCAGCAAAATACCATCGTGTCAAATTGTGTACTATTATCGTGGAGCACATGTATGAAATAAAACCGATCTGAAACGCTTTCCATTACACAGCTTAGGCACCGCACAAATAACGAGAAGCACATCTATTTTGAGGAATTCACGGCAGACGTCCAACAGCAAACCGCTCGGCTCAATCTTCATTGGGACTTCCGAAAATGATATCCGTAATGAATGAAGTCGGACCACGGGCGCGGCCAAAACCAGAGGCAGAGGGTCTTTAGGCCCTCTAGGCCCCCCCCCAAAAAAAATTACCAGAAAGACCCACTTTCTTCAAGGAGCACGATTTTCTTCGCTTTGTATTGTGCTCACCTTTTTAAGTGGAACACAGGTCAAAGGCTACCGGGATATGCAATGTCACGTGTATTCTGAATTCAGAATACTGAAAGAAGCGGGTGTTAAATGTCTGCCTGGAATAATCCGCTGACGCTATTCATTTTGTAATGGTTTAGCGAGAGTTGTCTAAACTGATGGAATTCAGAGGCTTTGTAAGATTTGTGATAGGCTCTACAGAGATATTGACGACCCCGCGAACGCAGATTGTGGACTGAAATGTCGTTACAAGTTTGCATTGAAATGACCACTCTATGTACGTCTGAGAGTACTCAACCCGCGAACAGAATCAATCGGTGGCGAAAATATTTATGCGAAATAGTTTTGAATGTGCGCGCTCGCAAACCTTAGAAACAAAAACCCAATGTCCGGCGTTGTAGTTTCCGAATGCTGCACGGCTTCGTTCCGTGGCTCACGTTAGGTGACGGCTAAGGGGCGGAAGAAAATAATAACACATCTGACATAAGCCCTTTAGAAGGCTTTAGAACATCAACTCTTGTGCTTAGAGGGTAGTTCTGGCATTCATTTTACCTGAACCATTTTTAGATTGATCATAGCAATTGATTAACACTTACAGCATCGCGAACTTGTGCACGAATCTTATGATGGAACCGAAAAAATGGCATCTTCTATTTTCGGGTTGCTGTAGCTATCAATCTGGTCAGAGGACATCCTCAAATTATAAACATGAAATTCACGCTCAATCTAAGCTTGGAATGGTATGAATTGATCTTGAAAGACTGTCGGGGGCATCTAAGCTTGGAATGGTATGAATTGATCTTGAAAGAGTTTGGGGAGCAACATTTCACGATGGCCACTCCCCCACGGCCACTCACGACGGCCACTCCCCCAAAGAGTTTGGGGAGCAACATTTCACGACGGCCAGTCCCCCACGGCCACTCACGACGGCCACTCCCCCAAAGAGTTTGGGGAGCAACATTTCACGACGGCCACTCCCCCAAAGAGTTTGGGGAGCAACATTTCACGACGGCCAGTCCCCCACGTCCGCCGACAGCCACCTGATGCTATCTGCAGCGGCCAACGCCGCTTGGCTTCACGGAAACTGCAAACCCGGCGATAGCTGCTCTTGCTGCTCAGATTGCGAACGCGCAGGCCGCAAACTTTTCGTGTAATTTGTTTCAAAAGTCGTTCCTGCGAAAGGGTGAACGTTCTCTGGTAAACATGGATAAGCCCTTTTTCTTTTTTGACTTCTTTCAATCAGATCAATTATCGCCACAGATTGTTCAATAATTGGCACAGAAACTCCACTTCGGCTTAATGGGCCTCCTGTCCGGTTCTGGAGCCCTGCCTGACACAGCGCCGTTCCATTGTCTCTTTGTGGAATCTCATCATAAGTTCTCGTATCTCCTTTCATTGTCAGAGGGACCCCTTCCCTTCAGGCCTTCACATCAGGACCCACAGGGGGGGGGGGGGGGACGCGCTCCCTGTGCTCCCCTGCCTGCACCCCTGAATCAAAACATTAACTCGTCTTAGAAGGCGAGGAAATTCCTCGCCGTTGGCAGCATTTCTCTTCATGGGAGAAGTGAAAAACCTAAACGTGTATATGTCTTGTCTTTTTAGACGGTACATTATGTGCGTGCAAAACACAGTTTACAACAGATGATTTTAGGAAGCGAGAGGGGAATTCATGAATGCGGGGCAAAACTGCCGCCTGTTGGAATGAGCATCCCGCAGTTCAAAGGAGTGCTCCATATTTGTATGGAGTTTTGAACCGAAACAGCCATCTTGAAGATCGCTTGGTGCAGTTCACATACCTGCCTTTCTTATGACCAAAACCCACCCAGTTTCTGAGCTGTAAGCCTGCGGAGATGTGCAGACCATCTCGAGAAAACTATTTCAAGGTCACCCAGGCAACCATGACGCCATAGTAATGTTGTTCAAATCCGGCCATTCCATTAGCCCAGCGACAATTAAAGCCAAGAATAATATGATTGTTGAGTTGCTCATATCTGACGTTCGTTAGCAAGATTTGCAGACAAAACGGTCGTCAATTAGCTCTCAATCAACGTGGTGCAAGGTACGATGACACAATCAAACGATGACGTATTAAGGAACATATTCGCTAAATGAAGAAATTGGCGTTGTTTAGAACAGCCTTTTCAGCATAGACGCATATCAATATTTATAAGTGAACATGCTTATGACATCTGATGCTTGTTTCAACATCTTCAGATACGGATCATATCCTTTAACACATTAAACAGACCCAGGCGAGGGCGTTGTGGTGTCTATTATTCACAGGTTCGCAACAGGCTGGCTTGAAAACCATCCATGCCGTCTTTTAAAAAGCGAAGTTTAAGTAATGCAAATGGCGGGCGGGGCGCGATCATGCGATTGGTCAGCTGGTCGCGCAGATGGCATGCTTATGCCAAATACGATTGGCCAGCTGTTCGCGCAGATGGCATGTTTTTGCCAAATGCCCTCAGGTTTTGCAACATCCATTACACCAGAGCTCGCACACAGTGTTGTTGCGGACTGAAACCCCAGTGACCCTGTATCCAGGTTAAGCCGCGTGCTTCGCACTTTTAATGCATTGCGTGGGGCAGCGTGCTGCTAACCGTCAGACTCCAATCAGACCGTTTCCAGAGAGATGTCACGGCCTGTTGGGGTTTACGTGTTAACTGATTACATTGTTCAGTCGCAACGTCGAAGATTACCCACGCAAAAACGGCGTGGCCAGGCTTCTGACAATAGAAACAGTTGAGTCTGGTCGCAACAGGTCTGTTGGAAAATTCTGATTAAGTCTGCACACATCTTGACCGCCATTGCCAAATGTAACTGAAATATATACGTCTAAAATCTCACTAAATATTCTAACCACTGGTATGGGCGCTGGGTGTGGCTGCCTACAAAAGAACATCGCAGAATGAGGCGATCCTGTTTGTGGTTAGTGTCAAAAAGTGCACGCGTGTCAAACGGTGCTGCCTGCAAGCAACTCAATCAGCCTATCACGTCGCAGTCTCTTTGGGTGGTCCGAATGAGCCTCTACCTGTCGGTCTGCGCGGGCAGATGACCTGACGGCACAACTGCTTGCAAATATCCCGCACTTATTGCAACACCGCCCTGGCTGATGAGTTGGAAAGCAAGAAAGAAGCTCCGAGGAGTCGTAAGTGGGTACGCGGGTCGGTCGCGCTCTGTAATTACGCATCGTCCACAATCAGGTGTGCTCGTCAGCAGCGAGCAAATGAGCTCCGCGCAGGATTTATGACATGCGAAGTGCCTCGGACCCTCAAGTGACATGAAGCGGTTAAACTGCGGCAAAAGGAGTAGCTGGGCTGCTACGGAGCGTCCCTAATGACCGACGAGCGACCGAGTTCGGCTGCAGCGCGCCTGGTCGCGTTACCTGCACCCGGCTTGCAGTCCACGGCCCAGCGGCCCTGACCGCCGACCGTCCGGAAGCCGTATTTGTTCACCCAGTAGACGCGGCCGTCCTGCCATCTGAGGAAGGTGGCACGCTCAGCGGCGCCCTCTGTCGTCGTCGACGGCGGTGGCCCGCTTGTGGTCGGCTCCTCCGCCTCGTTCTTGAGCGTTGTGACCTCGACCTCCTCCTCCGTCGCCGTCGCCTCCGCACCCGTGGCCTCCTCCAGCCGTGTGCTCTCAGACGTGGCATCCTCCAGGCCTGCGCCCCCCTCCGTCGCCGCCTCGGTCAGCTCGGTCGGCGGCGGCTGTCCCGCAGCTGACTCTGCCCGCTCGGCCCGACCGACCTCCTCCTCGCAGGGCCGGATAAGCGAGGCGGGCTCGTCCACCCCCACGCTGATGAAGCCGGCGAGCACGCTGACCCAAACGAGGCGGAAGCGGCGGCGCGCCGACGGCGACGCCGGGGCCAGGCAGGTCCGCGACACCAGGCGAGGCACGGTGGCGCCCAGCTCGGCGCGACTCAGCCTCAGCTCCGTCGCCGAGAGCGAGACGACGTAGTAGCGCTCGGGCGTCTCCAGCAGCAGCAACTCGGCGGTGGAGGACGTTTGCACGTGCAGGTTGAGGTTCACCACGGGGCTGATGCGCGCGGAGGAGATGTGGAACTGGACCGGCATCACCGCACTCCAGCTGGGCCAGATGTGGCACAGGGGCTCTGGCGGACGAGCGCGGGGGGCAGACGTTAGCTCAGACGGGCTGCAAACACTACAAGACATTGTTCGTTCACAGAGAGAAGACAGTCAAGGCTTGCGACATGAAAGTGACAGGGTCGATCCGGTCCTCCAGTTATGGTTGAAATAAGTAAGACAGGCTTGAGCTCCTGGTTTTGGACATTACGGTGTGGGAAATGTTATTCTGACACTACCTGACCTTCAGTAAACCAGGAAGGCCTGATTACACGGCATTAGCAAGCAAGCACTGACTTTACTGACAAAACTCGCCGTCCATCGACTGGATGACTTCTTTTGTCAATACGGTCAATGCTCCTTGATAAAGCTGCGCAACCGGTAACGGCTGGTAATTATTGTACGAACAAGATCTCGAACTTACAGTAGTTCACAATTCTTTGCAGACGCCTAGAAAATACGGCAAAACAGTTCACTCCAGTTAAACGAACGCCGAGCGACGTCCATCTACCTCGCTGGTGGTCGAACGGGCTGCAGTCGAACTTCCAGAAGCTCCAGGCGTCGCCGAGCCCGACGCCGCTCCCCGGGGTGCCTGGCAGGGCCGGAGGCGCCTCCAGCGTGCGGATCGCCGCACGGTCCACGGGCAGCGGGTCCGGGTCGAACACGTCCAGCCACGCGCTGCTCGTGCCATTATCGTGCAGCCGCAGAAGCCGCAGCCGGCCGTCGTCGCTGGCGGAGACCAGATAGGACGTCCATGCGTCGGCAAGGACCGCCGAGTCGGCGGACGGCGGGCCCGCCTGCAGCAGCTGGCGCGCGCCCACGAACACGCGGAACACGCGCCAGCCGCCGGCGTCGGCTTCGATCCGGTACGCGCCGGGCAGGTGGTCCGAGTGCAGATGCACGGTCAGACCAATCGCCGCCGATTGCACGCTGAATACCACCTCACCGCGCTCTGGCGGTGGTGACGGAAACTGATGTTGCGTAGAGGGCGCTACTGGCCGCCAGTCCAGCTGCTGGCTCGGCGTCCACGGCTGGTCGGGCCCGGTGACTATGACGTTGCATTCTGCGCACCAGATAGCAAGGGGTGTGTAAAGACACACACTTCCCGACCTTTCACATTTTCTTAATGTTTGGAACACGGGAAGAGCCATGCGGTCTTGTCCAGGGGTGGAGTTTCCTATTCAGTTTATGTGGCTCCAGCCCAGTAAGGTTGGGGAGTAAGTGGATCAAATCTAGCGTCCATAGCAGCGTCCACACATCAGCAGCGGCCCATTTCAGCAGCAGTCACTCATCAACAACAGTCACAAATCAGAAGCAGCTTCTCATAAGCAGCGGTCGCACATCGGAGACGGCTACATATCAGCAGCGGCCACACATCGGAGGCGGCCGACACAGCGTGATGCGGCGCACCCGGACCGACAGCGGTGGCCGCACAGCAACGGCCACACATCGGAGGCGGCCGACACAGCGTGATGCGGCGCACCCGGGCCGACAGCGGCGGCCGCACATCAGGAGCCGATGGACACGCCGCCGGGCGGACACCATCGCTCAGCCGGTCCGTCGGGACCGTGAGAGCCGTAGCTGGTGAGTGACGGCCGCCCAGCTTGTCTGCAACTTCGGCCGAGAGACGGTCGAGAGTCAGCCGAGAGTCAGTCGAGAGACGGCCGAGAGTCGGCCGAGAGACGGCCGAGAGACGGCCGAGAGATGGCCGGGAGACAGCGGCCACGCCGCCGTGATATGAGGAGGGCTGGACATCGGGGGAGTCCGGAACACCGTCCGGGGGATTGCTGCTCACCAGCGAAATAAAGGGGAGGAGCGGAGCGAGGAGGAAGACAGAGGTGTAGAGAAAAGGAGGAAATGAAAAAAGAGGCATGGAGAAGAGGAGGGAGTGAAAAAAGGAGATCATGACATGAAGCAAGGACTGAAAAAGGGATAAAAGCAGAAAGAGTGAAGGGGACGAGGATGCCGACAGACACGGGGACCCGTACAGACAGAATGAAAAACAGATGCAGAAAAGAGGGAGACAGAAAAAAAATAAGGAAAGAGAGAGAGAGAGAGAGAGAGAGAGAGAGAGAGAGAGAGAGAGAGAGAGAGAGAGAGAGAGAGAGAGAGAGAGAGAGAGAGAGAGAGAGAGAGAGAGAGAGAGAGAGAGAGAGAGAGAGAGAGAGAGAGAGAGAGAGAGAGAAAGAGAGAGAGCATGAAAACGTACGGAGTTTTCAGCTTGGGATAACTTCTAGCTGAGTTTTTCAATCTTTCGCACGCTACTTTTGATATCGTCACCTAGACTGAAAGTAATTTGCCAAGAGATCTGTGTCTTCTTTCTAAATCATGTTCGTTCCTCAGCGTTTCGGATACATCGCTTATCCATTCTCAAAAGCATCACATAGATCTTCAGTTCATGTCAGCAACTGACACACTCGGCCTACTCAGAACCTAAAACACGAGACGTGAGCGATATACGTTGTGCGCTGTTTTTGTTTTCTTCATACCTCTGCTGAAAAATACCTCGTTGTGCAGCCAGTTTGCTTCAAAGTGTTTTTATTAGCAGCATGCTTCTCATTGAACATCAGTTACTACCAGTACAGCGTGGTAAAAAATAAATAATGCTACACCCATACAGAATGCATCATTAATGGCGCACACTGTGTCCTATAACACCGAGCATGGCAAATCCGCTGCTGCATGCCACTAATGCTGCCCTAATCCACGCGCAGCTGTCAAAGGCATTTCCTCATATGTGCTGTCTGTTTGCATTGCCGCTCCAGATACAAATTTCATAAGTTTGGTTCATCTTTTTGTTGAGCACTAGGTTGTGGCCGTGAATCGGTGGTGCTCCCAGGATGTTGAGTTTACTTGTGTGGTCTGCTGATGCTAGAATATCAGTGTTTTGTGTGAGAATTTGGCGCAAAAGATGTGTGCTGTGGTCACGCCGCATGTGATCTTTTAGTGTCTCCTTCGTCAGCTGCATCGTGGGACGTCGCGACAGAGATGTAGAAGCACTAATGTAGCATATACAACGAAGCCTGTAATCTTCGTAAGGGTATACAAATTCCTACACTACATTGGGCGCGCTCCAACATACATTTCTGTTACTATGCCTTCTGTGATTGGCTCGGTCGAGTTCTGCATGCAAAAGCTCATGGCAGCATGTGCGCAATGTCCTGCCAACGAAGGCTGCAGCAACATTCTTGCGGGCATATACAGCGAGCGTTCATTGCGAGGGCTTCTAATACACCGTTGTTGAAACTAGGTTGCGTTTTTGTTCTGACCAAGTGTGTCAATTGCCGACATAAGTTGTAGAGTTGTGCATTGCTTTTGACAGTTGATGTATGATGTATCTAAAACATTCACTAACCGAGAATATACATAAAACTCTTTAATCTAGCAGACGATGTCAAACGTAAGAGCGAAAGTTAAAAAAACTGCGAATGCTATCCAATAGCCTGAGCTATTCAATAGCTATCCAATAGCCGACCTGAGCCTCAGTCAGGGTCGCCATCTTTCACGGGCAGAACTGGTGATGCGCCAAGGACTGGGGCGCATGCGCATCAAACAGGGGCTGGGGATGGGGTTTCATTCTATTTGCCTGACAGCTGTTCCGGCGCGCCAGAGCATGGTGTGAACTACCAAACGCGTTGGCTAAAATGAGGTAATGACCCATTGGGGTGGTGACCTCTTTTGTTCATCAATGAGGTGGATGGTGGAGCTTACTGCACATATATTTGGAGTTTAATGCCGTATGTTGATAGTTTTAACACCATGGCCTTCAGACAAAAGCATTCATCTAAGCCTGAGATCCATAACACCCATACAGTATTATCGTATTCCGTGCCAGAACGGCTAGTTCTGGGCCAAGCGGGTAATAAATAAAGTACAATGGGGGAGGGTATAAACAAACCATTCAGGGTGCACACTTGTAACTAGTGCACGTTCTGCTTCCTTAATCAAACACAACAATGCTCAACCATGCAATGCCCTATTTCTATTTATTTTTAATTCAAAGCCCACTGCGGTTGAACTTTTGTTACACATTCCAGAAGCCTTGCAGAGGGTATGTCAGCTTTTTGCATTTCAGGTATTCTTGATAAGACGTATACGATTTGATCAGCAATGCCAGTTTTCTTGGAATTCTTGTAACGAGCTCAGCATAGCCGCTCCAGCGGGAGAAACCCTATTGGACTTCCTTTTCGCTACAAAAGCTTGCAACACTCTGTTTAGGCAAAAATATATGCGAACATGAAGCTATCATCCGGCAAATTCAACGAAATGTTACACTATGGCTTTGATTTTTCCTCCATGACATTTACTTCCCTGGCTCTTTTCGAAGTGCACTTTGGCTTTGGGAAACGGGGCATCACATGATCTACGGCGAAAAAGTTTTGAACCTACGTGCTTGCAATCTTAGGAGCCAGGGAGATAGCCGATGTTGTAGTTTCCATCAAACTGGGCGGGATTGTCCACTGCAGTTGATACCTGGCGGTGGGCGCGTGGCGCGCAAGACCAGCCGTCGTTAAATCATGGTTGCAAAGGTCTTTTTTAAATCAACTCTTTCACTTGCATAACTTTCAGGTTGTCCTCTGAACAGATAAGCAGTGATTTTAACGCGTAAATTTGATTCTGTTTTTTTATTCAAATTGGATTCTGTTTTTGCTTGCCTTGGTTCATTACTAAATTCCAGCACCGGTTCGCAAAGCTGAGAATACAATTTGTTTCTATTACAGATCTAAAAACTGCACAGGTAAGACATACCGCTGGTGTTCTTTCTATGCGCACGAACTTGCATTATAAATATTTTAAAGCTTCTACTTTCGGAAACGATATCGGTATTCGTCCGTCCGCTGGCCGCTGCCGCGAGGCCGAAGGAAATTGCCATCTTTGGCGTCAGGGTTTTTGTTCTAAGATTTGCGAGTGCGCATGGTCAAAACTATGTTATGTAATTCGTTCACAACTCGATTCTGAACAAAAGATGAACACATCCAAATGAAAAAGGCTGATCATGTCAATACAAGTTTGTGACCCCATTTCTTTCTACAATTTGCGCGCACCGTCATCTACGTTCACAATGTGTCATTGCAACCTGGACACATTCTGGCACAGCCCTTCAATCCTATCGGCATGGAAATAGTTCAGGATACCATTGCAAAATGAAAAGCACCGATGGTTTTATTCCATGTAATCATTTAATGCCCGGTTTCTGCACTTTATGAAATTTGAAGTGAAAATAAAGCTACATCTTTTGGTGTCTTCTGGTTTATGTTACAGTTAACGAGAGCAGATATTGAAATAAAACGACGAAAGTCGTAGCCCCGAATAAGTTTTAAGTTTTTTGGGTCGGGAAAATCCTTCGTTCCTTCAATAATGTGGGGTCCTTTGTAAAAGGAAGCATGCCGCAGCTTTTGCATTTTTTTACTTGTTGTTATGTCAGAACCGTACGATTTGATCAGTAATGCCGGTTTTCTCGAAGTTCTGATAAGTTTAGAATTCCTATTTCAAGTATCTAAATATTCTAAATAAATATGTCATTGAACTCCCTGCTCGCTACTCTGAAAGTAGAGCAGTCCATTTGCCTAATTTGTCAAAATGCTTGTGGCATAAATTTTACGAAAGTTCTAAGCATTCTGTTTATACAAAGTGATGTGCAGACAGGAAGCTGCTATCCCGCGAATTTAACGAAACGTTATGCTGTGGCTTTGATTTCTTCCCTATAGTGTTTACCACAGCTTTTTCGAGGCGGACCTTGGGATTGGAAATCGCGGCATCACATGGTTCATAGTGACGCACAGATTCAAACTTCAACCAATGTATTCCTCGGCAACAGGCCCTGTCCGCACGCTAGACCAATCGCAAACGTTCTTTTACTCGCACCAGCAGGGATGGCACGGCGATTATCATGACGACGGCGATGGCGACAACTGCAGCGAAGAAGTGTAGTGCTGTTACGAAGCACTGACAGCATAATTTTGACTCGAAACGATTTTATGTAATTATGGTGTTGCAGTGGCATCACCCAGGGCTATTAATAGACGAACTGGTCCTGAGGTTTTACTAGAGCATGCTTCTGTAATATGCCCCAAAGGAAGGACACTCCCATTAACCCCCTGCCAGTCTACAACTCCTACTCTCTTGGCTGCGTATCATTAAGCACAGAGCATGCGTGCGTAAGTATGATCGCGCGGTCACTAATGGCCAGCTCAACT